AAAATGCATCAATCACTATACATCAGTATATACATAGGGCTATATAATAGTATAGTAATATAACAATTATCAAGGATGTTATGCTAAACCTGCTATTGCTATGTTAGATCATTGGTTCTGCTCATGAAATTTCTCATTAAAGGTTCATGGTTGAAATTAGGAGTCGTGAGGAAAGCAAAGAGTAGGAATAAATTGGAAATTGCATTGGGGTGAAATAAGAAATGGAGTTCTTCAAGAATTTCTACTGCAATCAGTGTCTTTTAACTTATTAATAAATGATCTTGACTTAGAGGTAAGCAGCGAGCTAGTAATCTACAAACTGTATAATACTACCAATAAAGAATAATACTATTAATCAAATAATATATATATGAGTACATGTATGTACCGATACGTATGCGCGCACGCACACACACACATTCACACAATAATATATGTAGTAAATCTCTCTATATAGTAGATCTATCAATACTATATGTATAATACTATTATTCAAAATCAATTTTAAGCCTTTAAACTTACTAAATTCAGTGAAAAGAAAAGAAAAAAAGCTTTAGGATCCAAATGACTCATGAAACTAATTCAGTGTATACAGTCATTGTGTTGTTCGTCCATCGATTTCGATGAAGACCTTGACATCTTGTGGGTTATGGGCCATCAACGATGTGTCTGTAGATGGCTAATAAGACCAATGTTAGCACAGAATGTTCTGCCACATACTGAACAAAGAAATGTAGACACTGTTACTTCAGCATTTGCAGCTCTGGCTTTGCGGAGTGCTCGCTTTTCTTGTGCCAAAATTGTCTTTCTGTGTTCATATGTCTGGCAACCCTGGTACACCAAGGTGCGCCATGTCGGTCATTGTATTAGTTACAAAAGTACCCAGTAAAGGTTTTGAAGCCATAGAGAAAATCTTGTTTTCCAAGTCTCAATTTCTAATGAATATGAATACAATAATGTAGTAGGGCCTGGTTGTCAGTAACTTCACTCTAAGTATAAAATAACTAACTGGGGTCAAAGACTTTAGTTTTGTGTGTTGATTGGCCCCGAGCTGGCTGCACCTAGAGAGGAAAAATATTTTGGGATCATAGTCAATAGCTCAATGAAGGTATTCTGCAACTATGAAAAAAGCAAATTGTTGAAAAAGCTTGAAAATAAAATAGCCAATGTTGCAATATAAACCTACAAATGCATATGTCTATAACATGAACACTATGTACACATCTTGCTGCTACATTTGAAAAATAATGTTATAGAGCTAGAAAACTAAGGGAAAAGGTAATCTAGACCAGAGATTCACAACCCCTGGGCCGTAAGCCATTCAGAACCAGGCCACGGAAGTGGTGGGCAAATGAGTATGTGCATCTCCATTTGCGCAAGCAGTGGATGAGCATGTGCATTTGCAGTCCATTTGTATGAGTGGCAGGCACGCATGCCCGCCACTCACGCAGATGGAACTGTGTACGCAAGCTTGCACAGAAGCATTCCCTCTCCCCCTCCCGCCAGTCTGCAAAGCTGGAAAGGTTGGGAACTGTGACCTAGACTAGGATCAGGATGGGAATCTCAAATACCTGTCCTTGAAGAAAAGATGAGAAATTTTTGGAATCCAGTATGCAAAAATGGCAACTGAAGAACCTGAAATATAAAAGCATGCATTGTGTAAAAAAAAAACCAAAATACATCAGGAAAAGATTTTTCTCCTGTCAGAACACAAGGACCACAAGTAATTTAGTGAAACTGATATTAAAGAAGTTAGAAGAAAACACCTGTTTGTACAAGAAGTAATATATCTGCAGATTTCATTACTGTAATAGCAACAGGAATAGCACTTAAATCTATATACTAATCCACAGTGCTTTACAGAACTCTCTGAACAGTTTACAAAATGAGCATATTGCCAATATGGGTCCTCATTTTACTGATCTCTGAAGGATGGAAGGCTGAGTCAAATCAAATTCCAGACTATGGGCAGAGTTAGCCTGCAATACTGCATTCTAACTACTGCATCACCAGTCATAAAACATCACGATCACTAATCTGGATGGCATTAAAAGCAGATCATTATACAGTATTGGAGGACAGATCTATCAAAGACAATCGAGGCTCAATATTTTCTCTGGATTGTGGGACAGCATGTGCCAAATACATTTGCAAAGAAACTGTACAGCACCAGTTCCCAAACCTGGGCCGCAGCCCACTACCTGGGCTGTGGCCTATTTGGAATTGAGCTGTATGAGTGGTGGGCCAAAGTGTGCATGTGCTCATGCAGCTCAGCTTGTGTGAGTGGTGGGCCAGTGGGCTCTCTCACATGTGCTGGCCCACACACATGTCGAACTGCAAACATGTGTACTGGCTTGCACTTGTGCAGAAGTTGCGTGTGCACGTGCGTGCTGGCTCACCACTTGTGCAGCCAAGTTCCCCTCTCCCCCTCCCAGCCAGGCTGCCAAGCCACAAAGGTTGGGGGGCACTGGTGTACAGTATGTCTTCATTTTCTGCTTGTAGTGAATTTGACTATATTAAGGACTCTAGGATCCTTGTCTTCATATAGTAAAATTTATGCACAGCCACAGGAGTCCATAGAAAAGTTGCATACTGTATTACAGGACTAATCTATGAAATCTTGATTCATAAACAATTATGCAAAACAGATTTTTCAAAAATATAATTGTGCTCTAGCAAAACTAGTAAAAATGCTGCAATAAAGTTGTTTGTTTTTTAAAGGTACCTTTGGATTCTCAATTATTATGTCCTTCAACACATTTACGTAACAGCCTTAATTGTTACTTTCCAGAAAAAATAAACATGCCTTAAAATTGTCAAGGTTGAGAAACACTGCTTTAGTACATTTCTTTTGTTTCATAATTTATTTTATTTTATTAATTTTATCAAAGTATAAAATACAAGGGAAAAAAGCATAGAAAACTAAAAGAAGAGGGAGGGGGGAAAAGAGGGGATAGTGTAAAGGAGAAAAGAAAAAAGAAAAAGGCACGACTTCCGACTCTCTTTAGCACAGTAAAAGATGACAACATTACAATCACAGCTTTTTGCTTTTATACAATAGATACACAAGCCATTTCTATAACAATAAGCCTATCTACTTCACAAAAACAGAATCCAAATTTCATTTCTTTTTCTCATTGCAAGCACAAAATCCGGAAGCAATTTTGAAATAGATTTCTTTTTAAGAAATGCATCCCAATTAATTAAGACATTAATTTTAGGTCACTCCTTTCAACTTATCTTCATAGAATAGTCTTTTTCTTGTTCTCAAGAGAGTCTGTCAGATCTTTTTGAAAAAATTGTCAGCTTTATTTATATCCATATAAAGACAGTCCCAAATTTGTTCTCTTTGACATTGTAAGTTAGTCTGAGACAAATCTTCCCCGAATAGGGTTTACTCCACTAAGATCGCTATCGTATCTTTTTTTTCTCAAAGCGTTCTCAACCTTGTTAATATCCTTAAAGCAGAAATCTCAAACTTGACATCTTGAGAATTGTGAATTTACTTGATTCTCTTCTTTCAGTTGCAGTGGGGGGAGGGGCTGTTGCCACACCATCATCGTAGGAGAAGCAGATGTCAGATTTATATTCTGAAGTTATAGTTAGGTTATTTGCATTGTCCAATATTTGTAAGGTTGACACAGTAGGTTGATGATTTTCAATATCCTCTATATAATTAATATATTTTGGTAGATTTATGAAATAAAAGGTCTTTTGTAATGAAGTATATTAGCATATACGTATATATTTAGATAGCAAAATATCTATTTGTCTTTCTGTTCCCTTTTTCTTTCTTTCCCCATCCATCCATGGATGCCCAGGGGGGTCAAGAAAGCAAAGATGGTGGCCATGACCATGACTATGCAAAGCCTCCTTTTTTGTTTACATGCATTGTGATGCATAGCTTCTATGATGCAGTCTCAATGTGGATTTCCCTCCCTCCTTCCCTCCTTCCCTCCTTAAAATTGTCAAGGTTGAGAAACACTGTACTAAAGGGACAATTAATGAGGTCTAGAACAACTTGCCGCAGCCAACTCATTATGGTTAACTTGCCATGGCCAACTCACCACGGCCAACTTGATGTGGTACATCTTGCCCCGGCCAACTAGTCGCAGGAGAACTTGCTGTGGGACAATTCATCATTGTATTAATTGTTTCATTCAGGTACTTTTATTATTGGTGACCATATTTTCATCAAAATTATTGTAACTCTTGTATTTCTGGACTGACTTTCTTTAGTTTTATTATTATTGGCCACAGCTCCATCAAAATTAATTTAACTTTTGTATGTATTGAATTGTCCTTTGGGGACTTGCCTCGCGGCAAGTTGGCCACAGTGAGTTGGCTGTGGCAAATTGACCGGGGCAAGTTGGCCATGAAGGGTTGTCACATTCCATCACCCAGAATTCCTTTCCTAGGGAGATGGACAGTTCAAAATGCGAAAAAATACATACATACATACATACATACATACATACATACATACATACATAAAGAGGAGTATTTGATTCTTTTAAGTACAGTGGGAAGAAGTATATTAGCATATACATATATATTTAGATAGCAAAATATCTATTTGTCTTTCTGTTCCCTTTTTCTTTCTTTCCCCATCCATCCATGGATGCCCAGGGGGGTCAAGAAAGCAAAGATGGTGGCCATGACTATGCAAAGCCTCCTTTTTTGTTTACATGCATTGTGATGCATAGCTTCTATGATGCAGTCTCAATGTGGATTTCCCTCCCTCCTTCCCTCCTTCCCTCCTTCCCTCCTTCCCTCCCTCCCTCCCTCCCTCCCTCCCTCCCTCCCTTCCTTCCTTCCTTCCTTCCTTCCCACATTTTTCATGCTAAACTGTGGACCTCAAATCTCTTGTCAGCCCTGGTATTTATTGGATCCAACTATATTTTTTACCCTCAAAATGTGAAACAATGTTTACTGTGCAAGATTTCCTGAAAAGTAAACATATTAGGCTAAACATTGACAGAGGGGCTTGTATTACTGTGCACAATTGGAACCAGTCTGTTTCTTCTTCTTTCTTTTCAATATATATTTTTTCCTTTTCCTTCTTTTTCTTCTTTTTTTTTTTTTGGTGGGTGGGAGAATACAGGCACCTTTTACAGAGAAAAGTTACAACCAGCAGAGTCACTGCTCCAGGTAATGGGATTCTTCTATTCAAAAGGGGCGGCTTTCAAATATTAGAGAAAACTGATTATATTGCAAGAGCTATATCTGAGATTGATTGCAGCCAACCATGTAATAATACTTTTTAATAATGTAATAATAATAATAATGAAAATCAACAGAATTGTTTAAAGATAGTTGCATAACTCTAACTTCATTATTATAACATATTAATAAGTTAAATTCTTTCTAAGTAATGACAAAGATGACCTGGAATAATTAGAAAACAGGTTTTTTTAAAAAAAAAATGCAGACAATCCTCTTGTTTTCTCTTATAGAAAATGTTTCTAACAATCCTATATATATATTCCTAAATATAAACAACTCTGAAAATTGTAGATTTAACTTCAGTATAGACCATATAGGATTAAAACCATTAAAAACAACAGCAACACTTTTATTCAAATATGCAATAAAACATGCTGTTCATTTTTCACTGAAAACAAATGCCTTATAGACAGCAAATAGGGCCTCTAGAAATTCAATCTTTGTGAATTTGAGTAGTAACCTCTTGATATACAACTGTCCCACAGATTATAATCCAATGCAGTCTTTGGTTCAAATATATATTATGATTCGTAGACATATATAATATTTAGAAAGGAATATTTAAAATAAATGGTTACAGGTTAAATGGAACCAAATGGACTTTGTCATGAACACATGTAAGACTAACACAAACTGGATGTAGAATCATTCAAAAACTGACAGCTACACACAAAAATGGAATTAAAATATATTGTTGCATTTTTTTCTTTTAGGATGTTTTGGAACTTTCAAACACTTTATTTCATTGCATTGTTTTCTTCTGTATGTAGTGGTAAGTACCATACATAGGGCCATTAATATGCACTTGTCTATATAATGTAAGTCAGGGGACCCTAACTATTGGGCCATGGTCCACTACCGGGTTGTTGCCTGTTTGGAACTGGACCGTGCGAGTGGCTGGCCAGTGCATGTGTGGGCCGGTTCCCCTCTCCCCCCTGCCAAGTCATAAAGATTGGTGACTGCTGATATAAGTTATCATAAATAATAAGTATACCAAGGAACAGTACCTTAAATGCATAGAGAGTTGTGTCTTCAAAAGTAATTTTCAAAAGTAGCATCATTTTCAATTAACATTTTTTATGAAAAGGTACAAGCTTTTGTGATTGGCAGCTCACTTCAGATGCATCTATGGTAGACAGCTACTTGTAGATGAATTACTGAGCATGTAGACAAGCTTATTGATTGGTTGAAATGTTCAATTGAATTCAGAGTTCTGCAAAGAAGCAAATGGCTTTTGCCAGTTCTCCTTATCATCTTTTCAATACCATTAGAGATTTCTTTTTTAAAAAAGAAATAGTATAAGAGTTGAAGAGTAATGAAAGACCTACCAGAAAAAGGTGTGATTCTGATTTTAGTGCTAAATTGGAGCATTCCACAATATTTTATTGATAATTTTACTCATAGATCACAAAATCTTTCCCTACACCCCTATGAGGGAGAAAATTAACACTTGCTTATTATTTCATTCTTGGCTCACCTAGAATTGATCCATAATATGCTAGAAATAATAAGATTAGTGGCTGTTTACAAGACTGAACCAAGGACTATGGCCAGGGGCATCTTTCTTTAGCATTTCCATTTTATTCAGATAAAAATATCCTTAGAGGCAGGATCAATAATTTTTGAATTTAATATTTTTCATGAATTTAGTACTTGCAGGCAGTTTAGAAAAACATGAAATAATCAAGAAAAAGTTCAGCTCTGCAGTGTCTTTCCAACACATGACTGTGTCAATGATTTATGTTCTTTGATTTATAAATCATAATTACAAAAATATTCCAAGCCAGGATAAAATTAAAAAGAATATATTTGAAACTAGCTGTTGTATTTTCTAATTTGCAAACGCTTTTCAAAACAAGTTAAAATTTAATGATGTTACAGGGACAGGCAGTAAAGTAAATGCATTTTAAAAGTGTAGTTATGTATTTCTTATTCATTTTGGAAGTGCTATAGTGTTTTGGATTTTGATGTGAACAAAAATCATTTCAATTTGCCTATATAACAATTTTAATGTTCTATTTTTGACAGTAAACTTCAAAAAGAACTTGAAAGATGTGAGAAAACAGAGATGGAAAATACTTCTGTTTCAGCTATGGAACTTGCAGTCCCATAGCCTTTAAAAGGGAAAGAAGAATGGTTCCCACATTCTGAATTAGCATTCTGGCATAGAATTTTGGGCCATGATAGTATTTTGTTCCAAAACTTGGGTATCAATGACATATTAAATCTTCAAATAATTTGAATTATTTCTATTTTAAAAAATATGGATAATCTCTAATTCTGGCCACGCCCTTTGGTGACAGTTCTTGCATTACACATGGAACCACAAACTAGTTAGCCACATTTTAGCTTGCTATGGTTTGTGATAAGGTTAGTTTATGGTTCTCTAAGTTGTGGAAGCTCAGAAGATTTGGGTTTACTTACTAATTAATCAAATTTATATGGTAACCCCTCTCTCAGAAAGTGACTCTGGCCAACGTAGAACAATATGAGTTATGAGCAGAAAAGGTATTCACTCTGTTTCCTTTCATAGACAAGATATTTGAATTCCTGCATAGGATTCCAGGGCCTTCCTGCATTGACTAAATTTAGATCTTCTGAATTTGCAGCACAGCTAATACTCGGCATCTTCTTTTTCTGTCTCAGAATGTATGTCTGAGATGTACAGAAACACCTATATTGAAGGAGGAGACATATCTAGGGTTTATACTCCAACTGCAGATTATTGTCAGCTGGTATGCACTTATCACCCAAGATGTCTTTTGTTCTCCTACATACCTGGAAGCTGGGTAAAAACCACTGCAAGGTAATGCTAAGATTATTTGATGATTTATGTGTACATTCCTGCATGCATGACAGTGGTATGAAAAGGCCTTTCTAAGACAAAAGAGCAAATAAGGAAGTGCAAAGTACTTCTAAATAAATGATGACAAGAAGAAGACAAGGAGTGGGTGGCAGTGGAAGACAGAGTTACATCGTTGAGTTGGGTGGTCATATAAATCTAGTAAGTAAGAAAATAAGTAAATGTAAGAAATGTCTGTTGTATGAATAATGTGTTCCACTTCCAACTATCAGGTTTTCTTGCTTCCTGAAAGAAATTGATGCTCAAGAATTGCCAAAGATTCATAGAGAAGGAATAATCTCTGGTCATTCTCAGAAGCAATGCACTCGAATTACTGGTAAGACCTAATTGTTTATGAGACTTTACAAAACCCAGAAAAAAAAAATACGGCACCAGAAGTGACCTTATAGCAAATTTAATAATTGGTCTATTTATTTCAATATTCCTTGAACCAGAAAATTTGCTAAAGGTTTAGCTGGAATTTTGACTTGAAGCCCTTTCAGAACTTCAAGTATTTTACTCAAAATCTTCTAGGAGAAGGGTTTTCCTTCCTAAAAACGTTGGATTTTCTTCCACATCTTTCTTTCTCTCTTTTTTCTAGCTTGCAGCAAAAAAGTCTATGAAGGACTGGATATGCAAGGCGAAAATTACAATATAATTTCTGCTGACAATTATCATCACTGCCAACAGAGATGCACCAATGATAAGCATTGTTACTTTTTTACATATACCTTAGAATCATTTCACAGTGTACCCCTACGGTAAATAATAATAAAATAATATTCAGGATTTGTTTCATTGGACAAAAAATAGAATACAAATAGCCTGATATTACAGAAGAGCTTTGATATAAAAGTAGTCCTTGACTTAGGACCACAGTTGAGCCAAAGTTTCTGTTGCTAAGCAAGATATTTGTTAAGTGAGTTTTGCCCCATTTTATGACCTTTCTTGCCGCAGTTGTTAAGTGAATCACTGCAGTTGTTAAGTTAGTAACACAGCTTTTAAGAATGAATCTGGCTTCCTCATTGACTTTGCTTGTCAGACGTTCACAAAAGGTGATCTTATGACCCCGGGACACTGCAACTGTCATAAATATGAGTCAGTTGCCAAGATCTGAAGTTTGATTACGTGACCATGGGAATGCTGTAATGATTGTAAATGTGAAAAACAGTCATAAGTCGCTTTTTCCAATGCCATTGTAACATCAAATGAACACCTCTACTACTTGCTTGTGGGAATAAATGTGCACCCTAGGTAAGTGAACGTGTGATAGCTGGATCTGAAGCATTTATCAAGAAAGGCAGGGACATGCAGATTTCAGGTATCAGATGCAAACTATGCCCCACATTTCAGTTGAGAACTGGATTTGAAATTAAGTTCATAAAATGACAGGTTTAGATTCACTTGTAATCCATTGACCATTGGTTGCTCCTATGATGTATAAAGGTCTTTCTTTCAAGGATCCATGAATTGATCAAATAATTAAATATATCATGTTATTGCTGAACACAATGTATTACTATAAAAAATACAGAGTGATTATATGTAGGCCTTGAGTTGTTTGCACATGCCCGCATCCCCACTTATTTAAGCTTTGGGCGAGTGCATGCTTTCACACACAATTTGTGTGAGTGGCAGGTGTGCGTGCCCACCGCTCATGCAAATGGAGCTGCACATGCGTGCACACGCTTTCCCGCTGCTTGTGCTGCACCATCCCCTTCCCCCACCAGTTCTGCAAAGCCAGAAAGGTTAGAGAACTCTGATCTAGGTTACAACCAGTTTGGTTTAATAGTTAAATTGCTGGATTGGAAATCATTAGACCATGAATTCAAATTTTGTCTTTAGCATAGAAGCTAGCTGGATATCTTTGAGCTGGTCACTCTCTCTCTGCCCTAAGAAGAAAGTACAGCAAAACACTGTGAAAATATTGCCAAGAATACTGTCCTGTAGTCCTCAGAAGTTAGAGTTAACTGAGTGGTCTGTAACAAGTACATCTGGGTTGCAAAAACCTGACTGAATATTAGGTGACAGCAAAGAAATATAGAAACTTTATTTGTTGTCTTCTACTGGTCACCCCTATTTTTCAGTCGATCCCATTTTTCCCCCCACCAGAATCTGTTATTACAGCATACATCCAGAATTTAGGTACTATTGTTTTAGGTAATATATTTTTCCATGAATTCAGTTCAGTCCTTTTTTCCCCCCTAAAATTGTCTAAAGTATTGGCCACCATTTCATATTATGATACTAGATTATGTGAATTAACAATGAGGGATATAGATATGATTGGAGAAATACTTTTTCTTGTCTACTCAATTTGTATAGTTATTATATACAAATTAGAAAATTATTAAACTCTTCTAATTGCTATATTTTGTTCTAAATTATAATATATAAACTTCTAAATTTTAACAATAGGTTATAGCAGAGTAATTTATTTCTAATCTGTAGTACCATGAAAGAGTAAGAAAGTCTTTAGATATTGGAGTCATATTTTACCAAACGTATGGTTTAGCTTTAACCACAGTTGATTGAATAAGCCACAATGGCTGTGGTTACCCATATATATATATAATAACTGAGCTGCTTTCTTTTCTTATCCAGTAATAAATGCTACTTGAAATATAGCAGGACAGGAACCCCAAATCAAATAAGGCAGCTTAGGGATGTTGTCTCTGGATTTTCATTAAAACCATGCCAACTTGCCCAAACAGGTAAGTTGCTTTATCCTAAAAGAAAATATTGTGGATAATATATCCTAGCCTGTTTAGACATGGTGTGTAAATATGTGTCATACCAGACAGTCTTCCAATTTGGCACATTCCAGATTTGTTGGGACTGCCTGAACATTTTAGCAACTGCAATTCCAGGATATCTGGTGGGACCACATTGGGAACTTGCCCTACAGAGTGAGTTCCCAAGCCTACAAGGTCTATAGCAAGACCCTGTGGGCAATTACAAGGCAATTCTATAGATATGAATGCCAATTGTCCTTGTTTCAAACTTTATTATGAATAATACTATAGTCTACCTGGATTCATAATGTTCTTTGCATATTTAGCACATCCTTCTAAATTCTTTTTGCAATGTAGGCTATTCAACCTAAGCTAATACCTAAGATTTGTGTCAAGCATAAATCACCCCTAACCCAGCCTAGTGCCTTTTGTTCAGTCACTGTCTAGCTCATATTTTCAAAGGGCCCCTGTATGGCATCAGGTCCCCCCTCTCTCAGAATGTCATCTGAGCTAGATCTTCTGAGTGAAGATTGTACTAACCCACCTGACTCTTTTCTGGGAAGCAGGGGAGAAGGGATACAGCAGGCTAAAATGCACTTCTAGCTACTTTGGACTTATCTTTTGAGGTTTTCAGAAATCTTAATCTTCTAAACCAAGAAATCTTCATCAACCACAAAATATAGGAGCACCTCCTATGCCTGATGTGCAATTTTCTATGAATATTATAGATCTCTGTGACTTGCAAATGCTGCTGAATAAGTGTCACCATTGTATGTAGGTTATGCATTTATGGTGAGGTTAGTCCAGTAGAGAAACACTATATTGTAGCTTTCCCAGTTTGGCATCCTTTAGATATACTGGGACTGCAACTCATTCAAAGTCTCCACACATCTGGAGAGTACCAAGTTGGTATAGACTATTCTTTGCAACCAAAGGTTTTCTGTCATGATTCTCATACATTCTGGCAGAATCTGAAATGTAGACTTTTCCTTTCTCAATCCATGTATTTTGATAATTTGATGACAGCATGGACTACTATGACTTTGCCAATTTATTTTCTATGCAGATTGTCAGATGGACCTTTTTCAACACATTGCATTTTCTGGAATTACTGTTGCAAAGATTTTGACCCCTGACAAATTTGTATGCAGAACAGTTTGTACTTACCGTCCAAACTGCTTATTCTTTACATTTCTCAGCAGAGAATGGGAAGTAAAAAGTCAAAGGTGAGTATAGTTTGATAACATGATGTCATGAGAACTTTTAGAAGATTCAGCATTTATTCTATTACCTTCTATGTTCTATGACAGAGATACCTTGCAGTGGGCATTTCTGCCCATCTGACCAAAATTTGGTAATGTAACACAGATTTGTTGTTGCAGAAATTACAATCTTGCAAAACTTTCTGGTTCTCAACTTACATTATATATGGCTAAATGTTCAAGAGGAAAATTAAGATGTCCACCTGGTAAAAAGAAGAATGTATACATATACACATATAGCAGGGGTCCTCAACCTTGGCAACTTTAAGACTTGTGGACTTCAACTCCCAGAATTCCTCAGCCAGCAAAGCTGGCTGAGGAATTCTGGGAGTTGAAGTCCACAAGTCTTAAAGTTGCCAAGGTTAAGGACCCTTGACATATAGGATTCAGTTCTGCTGGTTTACATTCAGTTAGGCCTGCAGGCACACAAGGTACACAGGGATTGATCATGCTCATGTGATCTGCTGGTGACACAGATTCAATCTTGCTAATGATAAGTATATTGGTAAAAGATACAGAACCTAAACACCGTGTCTATTATTCTGTTCTTAACAGGATTTCTCCTGAATCCAGTCCAAACCATGACTTGTAGGATTAGAAAAAAAAAATGAACACAAAGAAACTCAGAGAAGCTGTGGGGAGAAGTTGTGGGGAGAAGTTGTGGGGAGCTAAGAAAGGAATGGAAGAAAATATAGACTTAAACTGTTAAAAAAGAAGAAAAAAATATAGTAGCAGCCAAGTCACTTGGCAGTTTAACGCATAAATGGCATATAAGCTCAGATCAAGAAAGATCTGGGAAGAAGAATTTTATAGAACTTGAAAAAACTCTGCTTTCATTGACTTATAATAGATGAGGCCAGGAAATGTCTATTACACTTTCCAATGTTCTTTATTTATATCAAATTTCTACTAAAGATACTTCCCTGAAATCGCTGTAGTTTTTACTTCCTTGTTCTTGTTCATCTGTGGGGGGCTTGAAACAGTCAGATATTAGTCATGATTATTTGGTGATTTTGCTTTAGATATACCTGTCTGATGATGACTTCAAGAAGTGAAAAACCAGAGAAAATTACAGAAAGAGCAAATGTTATATCAGGATTCAGTCTCCTGAACTGCCGAAGAGTCGAACCTGGTAATGAAAAGATGATTCAAAATCACTTCCGGTGGATCTGCGTTGGGCGATGGCGGCTACTTTGTAGCCGTCCTCCTGGGTAAGTGTAATGAACCGCTATGAACAGCAGACATCAGCTGTTCAGCGGTTCAAAATCCCCCTCCCGGGCAAAGGGGGGGGGCAGAGGGTAGTCTGAATAGTGGTAGAGCCTCTTATGTACCCCCAATTTTTCTTTTTTGGGGGTGACAGAGTGCTCCCACGGAGTTCAGACTGTCTCCGCTTCCCAGCTGCTTTTGTCCTTGGGACAAAACAAGCCCTCGCAACCACCTCCGCGTTTAAAGTGATTTAGTGGTTTTTTTTTAAGAAGCGGACAGAGTTGTTTAGAGGATTTATTTTTTTGCTTTCCTTGACTTTACATGTATTTTAAATTTAAAGGTTTATTCTTTTGTTATAGTCTTTCTTTTTATTTTTTGCTTTTTGCTGAAAGGGAAAGTAAAATGGCGATCGGCAGACTTTCTAGTGTTTTTTTTTTTCGGGAAGCTAGAATGGCGATCGGCTTTTTTACCTTCTCTTTTTTTTCTTTCTTCTTTTTAAGGACTGGATGGATTTTAGAGTATTATTAATTTTTGTTGTTTAATTTTCTAAACATTATTGTTTTGGTTTGATTTTTTGTTTTGCTTTTTGTATTTTTAAAAGGCAGGCATTTTGTTTCCCCCCCCCTTCTTTTTTTCACTTTAACGATTGGAGTGTATATTCTAATTTCTTTTATTGATTTATTTTTCGCCTTTTTCGATTTTATTTTAAATCCAAAGGTTTATTGTTTTGTTTACAGTCTTTTTTTTCTACTATTTGCTTTTTTGTTGAAAGAGAAAGTAAATGGCGATCGGGAGACCTTCTAGCGTTTTTCTCTTTTTTTTTTTTGGGGAAGCTAGAGTGGCGATCGGTTTTTTTTTACTTTCTCCTTTTTTTTTTTCTTTTTAATGAATTGGATGGATTTTAGAAGTATTATTATTGTTTTGGTTTGATTTGTTGCTTTGTCTCTTGTATTTTTAAAGGGCAGGCATTCTGGTTTTGGTCTGATTTTTTGTTTTGCTTTTTGTATTTTTAAAAGGCAGGCATTTTGGTTTTTCTTCCCTTTTTTTTTCTCACTTTAACGATTGGAGTGTATATTTTAACTTTTTGTTTTGGTTTGATTTGTGGTTTTGTCTCTTGTATTTTTAAAGGGCAGGCATTCTGGTTTTTTCCCTCCTCTTTTCCTTCTTTTTTTTTATTTTAATGATTGGAGTGTATATTTTAATTTTTTTTATTTTTTTTTTCTTCTTTTCTAACTCCCTTTTTTATTTTTTTATTTTTCTCATTATTTTAAAGATTTTCCTTTGAGGGAGTTATGATTTTCTTTTGAAGGAATTTTTGTAATTTTTAAGAAGGAGTAAAGTTTTTTTTTTAAGATGGCTCCAAAGCGTCCACTGAATTTCACAGTTCCTAAATCTTCTGTGGCCCAGCCAACAACTGTGAAGGATATGCAACAAATGATGGAAAATTTTACAATTCAAATTAGGGCAGAAATGAAAAAGATTTTGGAAGAAAATAATAAGATTTTGAGGCAAGACATAGTTTTGGCTCTAAAAGGAGTTGCTTCTGTTCTTGAAAAGTTGAATTCCCATGTGGAAGAAGTAGCTGAAAAAGTGGAATTAATGGAGGGGAAAATTGAAAGTATGGAAAAAGAAATGGAAAACGAGATTCTTATGCTTCAATATGGTCAAATGGAATACGCCTTAAGAATTAGGGGCTTGGAAGAGTCCTTGCAAGAAGATCTGAAAGAGATGGTTGCAAAGGACTTTGCTGTAATTTTGAATAAAGAAAAAGAAGGAATACTTAGTGAAATTGAAAAACTATTTAGAGTTAACTCTGCGGTGGCAGTACAAAAGAATTTGCCAAGAGATGTGGTAATTTACTTTGGGAAGAAATCTTTACGCAATGAAATTATACAAGCTTTTTATAAGAAGAGATTTCAAATTGCTTCACAAGATGTTATAATTTTAAAGGAGATCCCATCTAAAATTTTAAGAAGAAGAAAGGAGTTTGCCTTTTTAGCAAATGAACTTAAAATGAGACGAATTTCGTTTAGATGGGATGTTCCGATTGGAATGGTGGTGAATTACCTGGGAATATGTTACAGACTTAATACTGTTTCTCAAGCAAAAGATTTTTATACTTCAGTATTGGGGGTATGTTCATCTCCATCTATTAAGTTCAAGACTTTGGAAGAAATGGATGTAGAATTACAGTTTGAAGACTCTAAAATTGGGCAACCCCTGTTTAAGAGATCTCAACATGTTCAGATTGAGGAGCAGGAGACAACTTGTGTAGCACAAAACTGTAAAGAAAAGCAGCAACTGAAGAAGAGTAATGAAATTTCACACCTAGTGATTGCTGAATCTGTGGGAGAAGCAAGACCCATAAATCCTTTGGAGCAATCTTCAAGGATGGAAGGGTCATCTGAGATGAAAAAGGGGAAATTCCAGCCTGAGGGGCGTCAACAAGTTGAGAGGAAGGGGCAGAGGAAAATCTGTGCAACGTATAATTGTAAAGAAAAAGACCAACAGAATAAGGAGATTAAGGAATCCCCACATGTACTGGCTTCTGAGTCGTTGGGAGACTCAGAAAAATTGGAGCAGCTTTTGAGGACAGATCCTAAAGCATTTGTTTTAAGCTTTATGACGAAAATGGACAATCGAGGCTGACAATAATAATATCAGTATGATAATGAATGGAGAATGAAAATGGACAATTGAGATTGATAAGGACTGGGGTTTTTGTGGTTGTAACTTGTTACTGATGAAGATTTGAATATCTATTGTGTTTATGGTGGATGGAATTTCCTATAGTGTTTTTTGAGGGTGGAATTTGCTATAAACTGTCTACTTTGGATGGAATCTGATAAGATTTAAATGAGTATAAAGGTGTCTTGTTTTTTTTTCCTTTTTTAAGTTTAAGTAATGTATAAATTTGTGTTTTGGGGGAGTTTATGAAAATGATAATAATATTTTTGATATTAGAAGGATTGGAGTATATTACAATGTGTTTAGTGTTTTGGGCGGGATTTTTAATGTTTAAAGTTTTAAGTAATGTTTAGATTTGTGTTTTTGATTGACTATAATTTGTTTGTTCTAATGTTTCAAGTTTTGATTGTTTAAATTTGTGTTTTGGAGGGACTATAACTCGTTTAACTAAATCTATTTAGATTTGCTTATGATTTATGCTGACTTTATATTGTAGTTATAGATGTTTAAAGAAAGCAGTGCTTAAAATTGTGTCTTGGAAGAAACTTATGTAGAAGGATGGATAATATTATAAGTAAGATTAGAAGATTTTTAGAGTATATTATAATGTGTTTATTATTATTTTCTAGAAATAATTCATTTAATTTAAGGTTCTTAGGATTGTTTAGGATTTATAGGTGTCTTAAGTTTTATATGTGTTTTAAGTTCTTTTTCTTTTTTTTCTTTTGAAACATTTTGGATAAGCCTGTAATCAACTCTGGGAGGTTCAGGGGAGGGTTAGGGAGGTTTGGGGAGTTGGGGGAGGGTATGGGTAGGTGGGCGGGTTTGGGGAGGGGATTTATTTTGTAAAATGTTAAAAATTCTCAATAAAAAAAAAAAAAAAGATGATTCAAAATGATCCTAATTAAAATAAAATTGCATGATCAGTTTTTGGCTGGTAATCTGTCTTTGACATATACTTTCACAATGTTTACAAAATTATTGCAGCATGCCATTCCCGGACCTACCCCGAATTAAACTTCTATGGGACAGAATTGAGTGTGGAATATGTCAGTGGGCACAATGCTTGCCAACAACTTTGTACAATGACTGTCCGCTGTCAATTTTTTACTTACATTTTCCGTAAAATGCAGTGCAACCAACAAGGGTATGTGCTTTTGTTTCATTTACAAAATAATCTTAATGTGAATTTTTCCATCCTCCCCTTTGGGGAAAAAAAAACCCTCTTAGAATGATGCTGCTTTTTTTATTTCCTATATAGCAAATGTAAATGCTACTTAAGAATATCGGCCAATGGATCTCCAGATAATATTGAGGCTGAGAATGAAATAGTTTCAGGCTATTCTTTAAGATTGTGCCAAACTAGCAAAAGCCCTGGTGAGTATCCGATTAAGTGCTCTTCTGTTGTCTTTATAAGCTGGAACAGGAGATGTTCATTCACTTTGGAAAGACTTGTATCATCCCTAACCTGATCATTTCCAGATATCCCTAACCTGATCATTTCCAGATACTAATATTCTCCCAGTCCTGTACTAGCAAGTTACTGAGCCCTGCAGTAGGGATTATGGGGAAATGCAATCTTCCAGCTTGAAACATTGTTCTCAAGGGTGGAAATTATCATTTTACCAATGTTTCATAACTTTTGAATTTAAAATATTTAGTGACACCAAAAAGACTAAAGAAAATTATTCCCATCATTTCATTTCTGAATTTCCTTATGATTCACTATACTGAATATTTTTCAGGCTGTCCACTGGTGCCAAATATTTATTGAATTTTGTTTCTTGTGATTTGACATTATATATCTTTAATTGTTTAGGCTTTAGTAACCTTAATGGGCTAAAAGCTAACATCGGGTTTACTTATTTATTTATTAGATTTTTTTTATCCCATCTTCATTATTTTATAAGTAACTCAAAGCAGCAAACATACATAATACTCCTTGATCCTCCTAGTTTCCCCACAACAACCGTTCTGTGAAGTGGGTTGGGCTAATAGTGAGGGACTGGCCCGAAGTCACTCAGCTGGCTTTCATGCTTAAGACAGAACTAGAACTTAGTCTTTTCTTTTTCTTTTTTTAATGTATATTTTATTAATTTTTTACAGTAACAATCTTTAGTATTTAGTAAGCAACATTGTCTGGGTTTATATGTTTGACATTAATAGTAATACAATTACTATTAAATCAATATTTATTAGAACAAGATTTGTTAGAAGAACAGGTAAAAGAAACAATGTTAGAGTAAAAATTTTGGTTACAGTATTGACCTAGATAATTGGCAATCATTATGGGACAGAAATAAGAGGTTAATACTAGCCACCTCCTACAAAGAAAATTTATACAAGATGTTTTATAGATGGCTCCTTCCCCCTACAAGGCTAGCAAAAATAGATAAAAAAACCTCACCAACATGCTGGAAATGTAGAAGGCTTCCAGGGGCTTACTATCACGTGGTGGGAATATTCAAAGGAGCAAAATTTTTGGAATCGGATAAAAAATTGGCTGGAGAAATACTATTACAAAAAATTGATTTAAAACCAGAAATCTTCTTATTAGGGATTATTAATGATAAACTCAGCAAAGCATATTTTTACTTACTATTGCATATTTTAACTGCAGCAAGATTGGCATATGCCCAAAAATGAAAAGGAAAGGAAACCCCCACTGAGGAAGAAATAATAAATAAAATTTTATCCTGCACCGAAATGGACAGGTTAACTCTAGAGATGAAAAATAAAACTGAAACAGAGTATTATGAAATTTGGAAAAATTTGTACGATTGGTTAGAGATAAGGAGGATTGCTGAGATGATTATCGATTGACTAGTTGATATCATAAGGACTTCTTATTAGTACCTATATTAGGGCACAACTGAAAGATATGTAAATACAATGCTGACGATTGAAAGATGGTTTATCAAAATTTTTACAGATGTTATACGAACAGTTTGTTATACTCTGTCCTGTTAAAGAATATATTTTAAGTTTCTGTTTTTCTTTCTGTAACATAAGGTAATACTAATAGCACTGTTGAAGCCAGGGAAGTTGAATCATGTCCACTTTTGTTTTTAAAATGTACATTTAATAAAATTTGTAAAAAAAACAACACCAATTTTCATTCCTATCCTTTATTCCGTTTTTTTAACCGTTTATAATAATTTCCCCATTTTTGAAAATATTCTGAATCTTGCTTCCCCTTCATTTTCAATGTGAGCCTATCCATTTCTGCATAGTCTAAAATTTTCTTAATTATGTCTTCTTCAGATGGTATTTCTTCATTTTTCCAGTATTGAGCAAATGTAATTCTCACTGCTGTTAATATATGTAATATTAAGTATACACATTTTTATCATAATTTTCTGAGATTATACCTAAAAGAAATAATTCTGGTTTATAGTCTACATGTGCTCCAATCATTTTTTCTAGCCACCTATGTATTTTTGACCAATAGTTCTTTGCTTTAGGGCAAGTCCATCAAAGATGATAATACATGTCTGGATTTTGTCTGCATTTCCAACACTTGCTAGACATATTTTTAAACGTGTTTGCTAGTCTTGCCAGTGGTAAATGCCATCTATAGAACATTTTATATAAATATTCTTTATAAGTAGCTGCCCTTGTTATTTTGTAGTTTCTTTCCCATACACTTTGCCATTTTTCTAACTCTACATTGTGCCCAAACTTTTTTGCCCAAGTTATTATTGTTTCTTTAACTTGTTCATCTTCCATCTTTAAATGTAACAGAAATCTGTACAGTTTCTTAATCAATTTGTCATCTGATGACAATAGTATCTGATCTAATGATGTCTGATCTTTGTAAAAAACATATATTTTTGTATCTTTCTCATATCTCATTTGCATTTGCAGTTGTGACCACCATGATAGCTCAATGCCCTGTTCTTCCAATTCTTGTTTAGTTTGTAGTTTCCCATCAGTATCCAAAATATCTTTATAAGACACAAGTTTCTCATAATTAATTAAGTTTGGGTGTACGAATGCCTCCATTGTCGAAATCCATCCTGGTATTTTCATGTAAGTTGTTGATTTTACCTTTTCCCATGTCAAAAGCAGGGCATTTCTTACATAGCGGTTTTGAAAGTATTTGTGAATTTTGTTCTTCCCATACCATAGGAAAGCATGCCATTCAAGTTGTAGGTCATGTCCTTCTAGGTATAATAGTCTTTTATTTCTAAGAGTTATCCATTCTTTTAACCATATTAGTGCAGCTGCTTGATAGTACAAGGCCCAGTCTGGTAGCCCAAAGCCTCCATTTTCTTTTGCTTTTTGTAACATTTTCAGTCTGATTCTAGCTTTTTTCCCTTGCCAGATAAATTTCAATATCGATGTATTTAATTCATCGAAATTTTTTTGACAATTTTTATTGGTATTGTTTGAAATAAAAAGAGTAGTTTTGGTAAAATGTTCATTTTCACAGTCACTATTTTTCCCAAGATTGATAGTTGTAGATTTTGCTATTTTTTCAAATCTAGTTTTATTTGTTTTAATAATTTTACATAATTATCTTCTTTTATTGTTGCACACCTCGCTGTTAGATATATCCCCAAGTATTTAACTTTCTTAACTACTTGAAGGTCTGTTTTTTCTGATAATTGTTTTTGTTGTTGTTTATCTGTGAAGTTTTTAACTATAACTTTACTCTATTGATTTTCAGTCCTGCTACTTCTCCAAATTCTTCAATCTTTGCTAATAATTTAGGACTTGTCTCTAATGGATCCTCCAATATAAATACCAAGTCATCTGCAAATGCTTGTAGTTTGTACTTTTCATCTTTTATCTCCATTCATTTGATTTCTGGATCCTGTCTAACATTCCCGTTCAATATCTCCAGAGTTAAGATAAATAATAGTGGGGATAAAGGACACTCTTGTCTCATGCTTTTTTTAATTTTGAAATCTCCACTCACAGTTATTTTGGCCATTTGTTTATGATAAATTGTTTGAATTATATTCATAAAATTTATCCAAAGTCCATATATCTTAGTTATGGAACCATAAATTGCCAATTGACATTATCAAAAGCTTTCTGTGCGCCTAAAAATACCAAAGCCATTTGTTTCCCTGGGTGCATTTCATAACATTCCAATGGGTCTAAAATCATTCTTAAATTATTCTTTATTTGTCTCTTTGGTAAAAATCCATTTTGATCTGAATGTATAAATCCAATCAAGAATCTCTTTAGTCTTTCTGCTATTATTGAAACAAAGATTTTATAATCCACATTTAGTAGAGATATTGGTCTGTAATTCTTTATCAGGGTCAAGTCTGAGTCTTCTTTGGGTATTAGCATAATATTGGCATCTATCCATATATTTGGTAGTTTGGCTTTTAGTAATACCTCATTACATACTTCTTGCATGGGTAAGATTAATGTATCTTGTAAATATTTATAAAATTCTGCTGATAGCCCATCTGGGCCTGGTGTCTTATCACTTTTTTTTTTGTCAGTCACTGTTATTTTCCCATTTAGCATATTTTTGAAATTCTCTGAGATTTTTGGTAGCTTAGCATTTTCTAAGTATTACCTTATTTTTCCTGTGGAATTTCTGCTGTATTATAAAGTGTTTCATAAAATTCTTTATTTTTTTATTGTATCGCTTTGACATTGTAGATCTCACATCTTGTAGTTTGTTTATCAATTTCTTCTCTTTTTCTTTTTTCAGTTTATAAGCCAACCATCTCCCCAGTTTATTAGCATTTTCAAAAAAGGTTTGTTTTTCTCTTTTGATTTGTTGAGCCATTTCTTCAGCTTCTATTAGATATAATTTGTGTTTTATTATCACCATTTATTTTTTCAAGAGTTTTCTTTTGTGGGCCTCTTTGTAGTTCTAATTCTAGTTTTGTGAGTGCTTTAAGCTTAGTTTCTTTTATTTTTTATCTTTCATCTTTTTCGGCATTTAAGTTATGGCTACTCCTCTAAAATATGCTTTAGCTATATCCCAAACATTTTGGAGTGATGTATCTTCTTTCTTATTTTATTTGAAGAAAAAATCCATTTCTTTTACAGCTTTTTGTATAAATTCTTTCTCTTTCAATAAGAATTGGCTTAGTCCATCTTGTCTTTTTCTAGGAATTGGCTTAGTCCATCTTGTTGTTTTCATAATCCAATAAAGGTCAGCTTTATCGGATTATGGTCCACCCATATATTAGTTTCTATCTCGATTTCTTGTATATCCCTTCTTAATTCAGGAAATATCCATATCATTTCAATTCTAGACCATGATTTGTGGCTGTTTGAATAAAATGTATATTGAGATTTTTTAGGATTTATTTCTCTTCATATATCCTGTATACAAATTTCTTCTGCCATTCTAAAAAAAGACTTAGGTAAAATGTTCCTTCCTTTTTTTCCCTATTTTA